GAATCCACTTACTAAAGCTGTCGGACAATTGAAGAAAAAAATATATATATTTGTGCTTGAAATGTATATATCAGCATAAAATGGAAACCACTACCTCTAGTAACTTCAAAATATTTCCAAATATAACTATAGCATCCAAAATTTGTAAACACAGTATAGTATGTTATAGTTGTATTCTAACAGTATGTATGGAGATAAATGCTTCAAAGTAAAACGTAAGTAGATTGGGTTAATTGAGCTCAGTAAACACTGTACTACAGAAGGTAAACATTGCATTGGAGAACACAGGTGCAAGCTCACATGAGCCTGCTTGGGAAACTATGTAATCTCACTCAGATCAGTTTCATTTCTGAAAGTAAAGAAAAAGGTCACCGCCAAAACTGCACGTCACACTGTTTGACTGTCTATCCACTTGTGACCAACGGACCAATGAACTGAAACAAAATCAATAAAAACTCCCGGAGTCAGAGGAGTTTCTTTGATGTGACCCAGTAGTGACCTCTCTTGTATGGCTGAAGGTGCAGCGATGGTTTGAGGAGGAGGGGGTGGGGGGGGGGGGGGGTTCACCGAGCTTTCTCTATAGGCGAAGAAGGGGTCATCAGTCCTGTCTGGCCAGAAAAGAACCAATACCCCAGTGGACAGCTCCTGCTGCTCCAAGTCTGAGCCCAGTCTCAGCAACTATACTAATTCCCATAAAGGTGAGGGGGGGAGGCTTTAAAATCAGTCCTCCTCCAGGCTCAGCAGAGATAAATGAACCTTGGTTACAGTCAGTGCAGTCTTCTAATACACCACAGACAATGGGACCCCCTGCTGAGGTAGAGTATAGAGAGTAGAAGTCAGAGGAGCCCCTTATCAAAGGCCTGGGAGATGTAGTAGCAAAGGGTTTTAATTGTCCATTAAGCATGCATAATACAGGCCGTGCCCTAGCAACGCAATGAGACGCCCTGCTGGGATATTATTGTCAGGCCAGGGGCTGACACTGAAAAACAGCTGATGCTGTCGGCAGGATGCCAGCAGGACACCTTGTAAGCAGCCAGCTGAAGGGGTTTTCGGGGGGAGCGAAGTGATTTTCCGCCATGCACCAACCCCTCTCCTCTGCAGCCTTATCACTGACCTCTCCGGCTATGCAACCTGAGGTCAGTGTCTGGTCAGGTGTTCTGAGCAACAGCATAAAAAAAAAAAAACTTCGAGCAAACAGACAATCCACAAGTGGGACCAGTTTATCCAAAGGTAAAAGAGCAAGCCAAGGCAAACAGTTTGTTTTCCCTTCAAAGCTCGCCCCGTGTTCCAACACAAGACGACAACAATGGGCCCTGAGTGACTCTCTCAAATCACAGTTTTATGGAGGGTGAGTGATGGCACGGGGGGCGATGCTCTGTGAAGCCTAACTGCTTTGTTTTTATGTCGTATACACCAGGTAGACTCAGTCAATACTAATTACTGCAAATGCAAACATCAGGTTAGGGTGAAATGGTCAGAGCGACAACGGCACAGCATTTCCTTGTTTTGGCGACTCCGTGAGCGGAGTCATTAGCAACCTGTATGGGAGGAGGAAATGTGGAAATGACGGCGTTATGTGGAGGTAAGGTGGATATGTCTGTTCCCCCCTCCCTGACCCTGGCCTGACCCTGGCCTGTCACAGGATTGCTGCCCTTTGTGTCATGCTCCTCCACGCTGACTTTGGAGTGGAGATTACAGGTACAATGTGGATTGTTCTCCGAGTGTTTTCAAAGATCAGAATAACAATGGCATTTGCTCAGCTCACTCACTCACGCTCATTGATCACTTGTCCCTGCTCTCTCTGCCTCTCTGATCACATCAGCCTATTCTGACAGTGTGGTCTCAAGCATGGGGAAAACAAAATCAGGTCACTTTTTTGCATGATTGTCCAAAATTTAGGAATAAACACCTTAAAAAGTATCTTTTAAAAAGGTTAGCGTGTATTTTCCCTCTCTAAATATGCTGAATGTTTCATTGTCTTTAAACAATGCATGCAGAGAAACACCACCTGACGTCTTACTGGGAGGTGAAGCGCTGTTCTGGGGGTGATGTGGCGAGCTGTGTGACAGCAGAGGGTTGATGCTGTGGGTCGGTACAGTGATGGCGTCCATCGCCAGCTTCTGCCTGAAGGCTTCCTCCTTACGTCGGTTGGCAAACCAGTTGTACACTCGCACCTCTGTGACCAGATTAGAGCCGAGGCCCTGCGCTTTAGAGGGGGAGACCCCTCTCTGAAGACACTCCGCTCTGCAGGAAACAGACGCACAAGGTGAAAATGTGACTTTGATATTATTTGACAGGTATTTTTCTGGGGAAGGTGCAGGAAGTCATGTTTATACCTGTTGCACTCCTCTACTAAACTCTCCCTCTCCTCTTTGCTGGGGTTCTTCTGTCGTTCGTAGGCCTGGTACAGGATTTGCTGGGACGCAGGCCCCCATTTGAAACGGTTGCGTCTCATTTTCTTGCACGAGGGTTCGCTGCCGACCTCCTCACCGGGCTGACCCATGCTCTGACCAGAAGGATTGAACTCTGGGAAAAAAAATGCCGGATCCTGATTGTCTTTTTCTGTCATATTGCTGCCAGGACCTTGCACTGCTTGGTTGAACTCTGGAAAACAAGAGGAGGTGCATTCAATAAAACTACTTTCACAATGCCATCTTTTAGCAAAAGAAAGAGATCGTTAGACACATATCTCCATTAATGATATTTATTTTCCATTTGACATGTGACAAGCTTCATAAGGACTAGCATAGGGACGAATGCTGCGGGGGTATATGTCGCCCAGCTAGATGAGGAAACGTCCAATCTAACTTTATATCCCTGCAGGTTTGAATCCCAAATAAAACACTGTGCTGCTGCCAACCACACATTACAGGCCAAGCTGTGAGAAACTCAAATATTAACTTACGTCGCAGTATTTCCCGCTGTTTCCTGACATACCAGGTGTAGAGGGCCGCTCGCTTCTGTGTTTTCATGGGCGTGCCTTTGTTGAGGTGCTGGGAGAGGTGAGACTGGTTCAGCCCTGTGATGTCGACGACCTCCCTTTGGGGGATGTTGTGCTGCTGCATGTAACCTTTGATCATGCGGGCAGCACGCCATGGGTCCTCTCTAGGTCCAGGAGCAGAAAACACACAACTCATTTCACCACTTAAGTACAGCCAAGCCCTCAAAGGGAAACAGCAAAGACTAAATCCCCTAATAATCACCTTTTTAGTCCATGACACACTTTTAGATGAATATAAAAACAAACACAATGCTTCATGTCAGAGGGGGATGAGTTTAAAGAAGATTCACAATAAAAGTTGTTATAGTAAAATGTATAAATCTAAACTTTGCTTTGCTCCAATTTAAAAATGGGTTTGTAGCAATAATAAGTCCCCTCACAGACAACCCGTTTATCATTGTAGCCCATTCTATAGGCTGTAAATATTTTCAAAGGTTAGTTCAAGTTGATTCAGGCCGGTTGAGAAACTTGGACTTAGTATTCAGTTCAGATTTCGGCCTGGGAAACAGTTTGAACGTGTCTGCGTAAATTCAAAGCCATGAGCGTGCGATGATGAACACATGAACGCAAAGAAAGTGAACAAATCATCAAACAAAAAGTTAAAAGATGTTTGTCAGATTTTGGAAAATGTATAAAACTGGGTGACCTTCCACAAAGGATAAAAAATACATGTAAAAAAAAAATGGTTTTACTTAATTCAGGTAAAAATGCATTAAAATCACATGTTCTTTAATTGAAAATAAGAATATTATTTCAGTTTTCAAAACAAATACTTGTCTCTAGAAGCTAGTAAAAAATTGTTAGGATTAAAAATGATATGGTTTTAGTTTAGTCAACTAAAAAATATGCTTTTAAATGACGTGTTCTTTTATTGAATTGAGTTTTACACTTAAATATTGTCTCAAAAGTGAATTTCAGTGAGGAATTATTATTTTTTTCGTTTGTAAGAAATTAAAAGTAATGGCATATTTATGGACTTGTGTTACTCCAAGTGTAAATTTTGCATTAAACTCCTTCCTACCTGCAAATTCAGCCCTTCACGTGAATCGTTACGAAAGGAAAATGGAGCAAAACCGGTGTCGGAGGTGAAATATGGAGGCTGGTCCGTACAATCCGAGATTACCGGGGTTCAGACACACTGACATCGGTCATTATAGCAAATCTCTGCGCGTCTGTTTGTTTTGCAGAATGTGTGTGAGCCCTACATCCAAGTCTGCGGGTTAAGTGGGAGATGTTAGTTTATAACTTTTGACAATGAATAACCAGATCTCCATTGACTCTAATCACACGCCACTGTGTATCTTTCAGTTGATGATTTATAGAATAAAATTAATAATAACTTAACTACACGTGGGTTCGTTTTGATATTCCTCCGCTGCTGTTGGCCGAAGATAGAGCCTCAAATATTAGTTTTTACAGGTTTGAGTGGAGATCATTAAAAATAAATGGCTGAGTTGCGTAGTTATGCTTTTTCATAATGGGTTTATTGACGCATGAGTAAATGCTAAAAGTGAACATTATTATTATTATTTGTAATATTATTATTTAGTATTATTATTTAGTATTATTATTTAGTATTATTATAATTATTATTCCAATGGATTTTTATCATGGAGGCGGAGGGTTGATAATAAACGGATGTAACTTCAGCTGATATATTGCAAAGGTAAAGAAATAAAAATCAATGTGGATAATTAGTAACCAGAACGTAAAACCGAGTCGTGTCATTTAAAACTGTAAACACAGAAAGAAAACCGTGTTCCAGGATTATAACGGGCTGGGTTTGTATTAAACTAATTTAAAATATTCAAAAGTTCAAAAAGAAAATTAGAGGGAGACGCACTAAACGGAATAAAAAATCCCAGCGCTTATTTTCAATTTTTTAGTTTCATCTTTACTAAACTTTAACACTTTTGAAAACTTTTCCAGGAATCGACCACTCACGTAATCATGCGGTCCACCTCCGCCCTCTGCTCGAGGGCCTCCTCCGTGTTGAGCGACTGCAGCTCCTTCAGTATCGGCGGCGTGTCGTAGTCGTCCCCGTCATCGGAGCCCTCGTCCCCGGACAGCTTGCCCTTGCTGTGGCCGTTGGTGAGCGTATGGAAGACGGGTTTGGAGTCGGCGTCCGGCCCGCTCATCTTGCCGGGAACGGGGGACATGGACAGGCTCTCCAGTTTTACTCCGAAGCCCGGCGGGCTGGGGTCCAGGTCGTCCAGGGCTTGGATCAGCACTTCCTTGGTGAGTCCTGAGTCCAGCAGGGCGCTGAGGAGCTCCTGCTGCAGGGATGTCAGCTTCGATACCATTTTAGAGAACATTAAAAAGTCAACATATAGGCCTGCTGCTGTGTGCGCCTGAGCAGGGGGAAACAAGGGATGGAGGAAGCGGGGTTAATCAGAGTAAAAGTACCACAAAAGTCGAAAAGTTCTTCCTTCCTGAGTGCTCCGTGTTGTGGGGAGTTCACTGCTGACACCTGCTTCACTTCCCTGTTGAAGGGGAGGATGGAGCTACTTTGCCATGATGCTTTCTGAGAGCTGGGGAATATAAAACATGGTAATGAGTGGGCCGGCTGATGGCTGCCTTATGTAAATCCACAGAATAGGCCTGAGCTGGGCCGAGGCAGACATGTGTTTACACTGCTGCACTGCTGCTTTTATTGGCTCCTCTTATCAGCTCAGCTCTGATGGACTTTGGACCCAGTTGTATATAAGCCTTAGAGACACTGAATAAAGCAGAGCTGCACATGTCCACGAGGGATTTTTGCTCCATATCCGAGCTTCTTTTTAGAAACAATATTAGGATTTCTAGAAGTAGATCCGACAGAGAGCAATGGTGGTTTGTGTTTGTGTTTAAGGGCTTAACTCATTGTTTTGTTGGTATTTCAGCGTTGATGATTTCTTGCTAATGAGATAATCATAGGTGTTGATGTTGATGAAGTGCTGCTGTTAATTCAGCTCTGTCTCCTTTAATGAGGCCTAATAATCTCATTAGTTTTACACAGATCTCTCACATAAAGAGGAGCACAGAGAAAAACATGTAATACAGTTTGACACAGTTTACAGCTCGACTGATATGGGTTTTAGGGGCTGATGACGATACCGCTTATAGTAATAGAACATGTTTTATACAATACATCAGCTAATACATATATTAACAAAACATGTGGGCAATAATTAGCAAGATTTTATTATCACACTGTTGTGACAGAGAAATATAATTGAGACTTAATATTTTTAGTTTGTCTTTAAACTTTATTGTGGATTAATGTAAATATAGAGAATAAATGAAAAGACAACAAACCTGTATATAGGCTATGCATTTTTTTTAAATTTATATTAATAATATAAAAAAATATAAACATAAACATAAGTACTATGTAAACTGGTTCCACTATGTCTGTTAAAGGCTGATTAAGTGCAATATTATCGGCCAACTGATATATTGGTCAGGATCTAATATATATAACTTTAACACCTTTCTCCTTATTAAAAATAGCCTCTTCGTTTGCAGTAAATTATCAAAATTACCATAAAACAGCCAATAATGTGATATGATAATAGAACAATTCCAATTTTAACTTGAAGTAATAGCTGTCATGCAACTACAGTATTTACAGGCTGAGCTTGAAAATGTGGGAGAAAAGTCTGAAAGCCTCAAATTGCCTTGACTGTCTCTTATCTGACACAATAAAACTATTCAGGCAGGTCCTTTAATTACTGAATGAAACAATACGGGTTTATCTTATTTTGCAAATTTAAAAGAAATAAACCCATAAACTGTCAGTTCACTCAGGAGTTAAACAAACTGAACTTAATGATTAATGTGAGAGAGAGTTTTTAGGGATGATGCAGGCTGATGTCAGGGTGAGTTACCTTTTCACCTCTGCCTGGTTGAAACCAGCGGTAAATAAAACAACAATAAAGCTGAATTCATCACTGTTTATCCCACAGACAAACAGATGCTCTCCCACAGTCTGATGCAGCACGATGGTAAAAGTGTCCAATCTGACCTAAAAGTTCAAACAAACAAAGTTAAATTAAGTTCCAAAATCTTTGATTAAATGTTGTTGTAAACATTGTATAATGCAAATGGAATGACATTTAATTGAGTTGCATTTAAAAATCTATGAGCCTGGTGGTGTTGGTGTCATTTTCTAGCATTAGACAACATGCAGGTTAATGGAAAATTAAAAAAAAGGGTTGTACCATCACAGTTCAAACATATCCAAAGGTGGATAGATAGATAGATAGATAGATAGATAGATAGATAGATAGATAGATAGATAGATAGATAGATAGATAGATAGATAGATAGATAGATAACATGTACCAAACACAAATGAACAAGTAAAAGTACCTCCATTGAAAAAGTTACTTACTATTAACCAAATACACCTCGAGTATCACAATCAAAGCGATCAATATACAAACTCATTCATGTGAAATTGCCAATGCACCAATGTGTTAGTAATATTTCTCAGTTATCTCACAGGTGGACAACGTGTCCTGTAATTTACTAGAAAGCAACTGTACATTTACCTGAAGTTTCCTGGAAAGAAAATGTTATATAGTTCTAATTATAAGGAAATGAACAGGTCGTTGAAGTCATTGATTCAAATGATCAATGACTCCTCATAAACCCCAACACAACTAATTAAACACAAAAACCTCATCTGAACATTGACCTGCAAATAGTGTTCATTTTCACTGCTCTGTTTTTATCTAAACCAGATCATGCTGCAGGAGTCTGAAGTGGAATTAATTAAAGTAGGGAATTTATTCTCATTTGAAATAATTTTTCTCCTAACTGGACTTTTCTCTGTAAACAAAACCAAGGCCACTGACCTTCTCTGTGTATATGTATGATGCTTTACAACAAGATACTCAGCCAATTATTGGTCAGATGTGTAATCTGTCAGTGTAGTATCAATGTGGTTGATCATTAGTAATACTCTGGATCGCCTTAAACCTATTAGAGCCAGAGCCCAAATGCAGCAAAGCAATTTATTAAAGACAATATGTGTTGTTAGTACAAGTTCATCCTCTTTGAAAACTATCAACTTTATGTAACCTTTAGGAGAATATGATATGAATATAACAAATAAAATGCACTGAGTGGCTCCCTGGAGACATTTTAAAGGTCCCTATAGGAATGTTTTAATTGTCATCTTCTACTAATGGAAATTATTGTTCCTACATCATCAAAGACCTGTTGGTTGTTCGTCTTATCTGAAAGTCTGCTGCTGCTGATCTGGGCGTCATTGCACAGATTACACTGCTCTCTAACCCCCAGCCTCTAATGTGGGGAGAAGTCTCTCTGACGATGCACACCTCGGCTGCTCTTCGCACCGCCGTACAAAGCGCCAGCCGCTGTGTCGTGTGGGTAAAGTTAATAACCCAGTGGAAACAGATAAATTACAGTCTGTCTGCAGCTTCATCATCTCCACTGACAGGTTAATGACTCAAGTGTTGGTTTTAAGGCCCCAAAGAAACGGACTAATTTTCGTAATAAGAGAATAAACGAGGCCATTTGTTGTAAGGCACTAAACATTTTTGACACAATCTCACAGGAACAGACGGTTAGATTAGTAACTTTAAACCAAAGCGATTGAGTTAAATTTAAATAAAAGATATGAGCAAAGATGATACTTGATGTTACTCCTTCATCTGAATTTAAATAAAAAATCTAAATCTAAGCCCAGAAATACAGACGTGTCCGTTTTGTCAAAGCCAATTTTCAACAAATTACGTAAGAGTGAACAGGCACGTAAGCACACACACTTTGGCATACATTTTTCTGGTCCATTCTCAATTTTTAAAAACTGTCAACCATTAACGACAAATAATAACAAGCAGCGAAAACAGTTAATCCAGTACACAGACCATCACGCCTGTTGTGAAAGCGGCCTGTGCACTGGAGCATGGGGACGAACACGCACCGCTCATTATGCCTTCACACACTCCAGTGACACACAGGTTGTGCAACAAAAGGGACAGGGACCATCCGGGGCCGAGGACAGTCTTACCTGTCCCTGTGTCCATCCACCTGGACACCTGCACTGCGATGGCTTCAAGGTTTTCATCTGTTTGGCTATAATCAACAAATCCCAATGAATTACCACAAATCTATCATACTAACAAACATTGTCTCTAGATCGAATTCCTATAGAGCTCCCTTATTGTCCAAAGACTATTCAACACATGAATTAGCAAATCTGTTGCACAGGACGACACCACCCTTTGAAAAAGTGAGGACCGGCCAAAATGTCCTCACTTTCTCAAACGTCTATGCTCAAAATGGTCCTCACAAATATATAGAGTACAAGTACACGCACACACACAGACTCACTGGGCATCATGCAAGAACCAGTGGTGCAAACTGGTTCATTCCTAACTGGCACATACGTGTAATTCAAATTACTTTACTCTCAGTTAGATACAAAATTCTGCCTTATCCAGATGATGATGAAAAATGACACCAACATTGATTTGATTGGAAAATTTAATTCAATGTAACATCAATACTCTGTGTGTATCACTGTTGCTTGAGTTTTTAAGATCTTTTCTTGTGACATATTTTGTGGCATGAGCAGCTGATACATTTGGAAAATCTGTATGGGTCTCTATGTAGGTCAACAATACCTTCTGTCAGCTGTAATATTCAAAAATACACTATTAACCTCTTGTCATTGTTGTCGGTGTTGTAAACTGACTGATCATGCATTTACCCCGATATTTTGGTACTTCATATACATACAATCCACCCAGTAGCCATTAGCACATTTAGTTTACCCTGTTTTCATGGATTATTGTTAATTATTTAAATATATCTACTTATCCTTCTATCAAACCTGTTAACATGAACCACTTTTTGTCTTTTCCTCTTCTTTAGCGAGACTTGCTGTCCTCAGGGCCTCAATAGGAAAGAGTCAGACCTGATCTGACACAACCAACAATCACAAATACAAAAGTAGAGTTATCAAATATCAGCTCATGTGCAAATCGCATGAGCTCAGATGTCAAGTTTTTTTTTTTGATAGTCTATGTAGCTGGAAATATAGGATATTAAGATATAATATATTAAACTGGTGAGAGAGACAACATGGTTCATATAAAAAAGACTTTAATTGTTTCACAGAACCAGAAAAAGGGGAATTCATGATGAGCTGTCTTCGACTTTATGCCTTTTACATTTCTCAATTTACAACATTCTGGTTAAATATTGTTTCTTGAATAGAAACTACAGTGAGACTAAGAGCGCCTCAAATGGTGATTTTCTCAATTTTGCATCTATAACACACTGGAAAGTTTTTGTTGGACTGGAAAACATCACCTCCCAACCTAGATCCATCAGTGGTTTGTTCCCTGTGTCAAACTTCAGGGACGCACTGTGAGTACTGATGCTGGTCCAAGGTGTGCTTGGCCGTCTCTTGTGTCTTCACTGACCTGTCCTCACCCCATGGCCTGGTCTGTGCACCGACCGGAACATTTGGAAAGCAGCTGAAATAAAAAGGGCAAGGGCTACATGGTGTGTGCGTGAGGTTCAGGATCCAGCGGCCATGTCGTTCCACAGACTGAGCTGGACCTTAACCTCTGAGTTCACCGACAACTT